AGCAAAGTCCCACATTATATTCACCAGCTTCTACATCGTACAGATATAAATTAATATATATGACATGATGCAAAAGACAAAAAGAGATGACTGATAAATATATCAAAGTATTATATATTAGATATTACATGGTGTGAATATGATTACATTCATTCAAATTTGATGCCAGCAAGCCTTGACTTGCCCACATGTTATAAATTAAGAATAGTCCTTTTCCTTATCTTTGATCTGTTTTTATTTTTGATTCTCAGAAAATTTTCACGCAAAATGATTTCCCTGCAATACTGAGAACAGAAATTGTCATGCTTCACAACTTTTTCTTCATCGTGAAACTTTCATTCAATAACATTTATAAATTAAAGACAAAAATCGTTTAAATGTCTAGAAACAACAAAACAATGGATCTTTTTTATGCACATCCAGCTATACATACATTGGATCCAAAAGCAGAAGTGATTTCAGTCAGGATCTTTGATTTGCCACTTTTATATTTTAAGGTTAAGGAAGTTTTGTACACTGGACTTTTAGATTTATATCATAGTTTTTTGTCTCAAGAAAATGCCCTTGTCCTTCACAAAAAATGTTATAATTCACTAATATTTGACTGTGAAAAGTGAAAAATATCAATTTCGTGATTGTTCATCTCAAACTGTAAACTATATTGATGGAAAGCTGCAAAATTACTGTATAGTGATATCCCAAACTCCAAATCGATTTATGGTGAGATGACTAAATTAAAAACATAAAGAATTTAGGTGAATATTCATATGTGATCCATAAAATAAAAAGGGAATCTAGGCGTGATAAAAAACCCTTTAATTTATTTAATTTTCAAAAATTATTCTTTATTTTTCTTTAGAAACATTAAACTTTATATCCAAGATAACTCTACAAAAAATGGCCTTCTCTTACACTCTTTTTCCTCCCAATATTCGGTTTTTCTTTTTCCCACTTCCTTGTTCTCTATAAGTTGGAGGAAAAATATGCTATTATTCTAAAATGAGTTAGTAAGATAAACAATCCAGATAAATTATACACACACACACACACTTTATTGTTGAAATTTGAGATAGAACAAGCATATTTGTTGTTAGCAAACTAATTACAGGGAAGATGAAAAATCAAGAGAAAAATCAATATCGAGTTAAATTAATCAAATAATATATTTCTTTTACAAAAAGAGAAACTTGAAATGATAGTGAAGAAAGGAGGAGGTGTAGAATGGATTCCATCTTTTGTGCGTGCACTGCCCCACAGGGAAATTGAAAGGAGACAAGTGATCAATCATACGTCTCTTTCAGTGACTAACTTTTTTGCATTCTTCACACTCTTTATAGATTTCCTAATTCTATATACATATTTAGCATACGTACAATTTTATTTGATTAAAGTTTCTTCTCAATGTTAGAACCAATATATACATAGATTGAGGTGACCTTCTTAGATTTTGTTTTTGGGGTCCAAACAATAGAGAATTATACCGTTTAAATGTACAAGCAATATTCCGAAACCGATAATACCATTCTTTTCAACTCATTTTTTACCAATGAGATCAACTGATCTGGATTAAGACTCTGCTTAATTTCGTATGCGACTTTTACTACTTCGTAATCTAAAAACATTTAACTATGCACAATAAACATCATATCCTCGAGTTTCTATATATGTATCCATACCCATCAATAGCAAATCTCATCATTGGCATTGTGATGTAAATGTGAAATCTTCTATATTTTGGCCTGAAACATATTTAATTAGAAGTCGAAATTAGAAATCAGTTTTATGTTATAATAGGGTAATTGTGGACTAGAAATTCTGATAAGATATATCTGTCTGCATCTTAAAAAAGGTGACTGAAATTATATTTATTGGAAAAAAGGTTGGGGACTATGACTGTGAGAGATGGGACGATTGCCAAAAAAAGGAAGAAAGCTAAGAAGAAATTAGGGTTTAGTCAGGTTTCCATGCTCGTATAACTTCATTACTCCTCTTTAATTAAAGCTTACCTTTACCCTCTAGCTATCTATCTATTTAAAACCACCCATTATTCATGCATCCACTACTTCAAACTTAATATATAAGTATTTTCATAATTTTTTAGATATGTATGCATGGGTGTGGTATGAAGGGACGTGGCTCTTAGTTAGTTAACCCATTATATATTTTCTATCTATTTTTACTCATTATTAGAGCTGGCTCTTAGTTGATTTTATATCTAATAATAATTAGTTAACTAGCTACCGGTTATGAAGGGACGTGGCATATAGTGGTTTTATTGGTTCAAATTTATGTATATAAACATGATCACTTAATTAATTGTTTTAGTTTGTTTAAAAATAAATAAAAAACATGATACTTAATTCATAAGTAACGGCGTGTAATTTGAGCGTGGAAAACATATGATCAGGTCCATCCGGAGTATGCTTGCGTGTTGTTTAGATCGCTCTTTACGTACAATATAACCTGTGACAAAAAAAAAAAATCTATGTGCAACGTCAGTGATACATCTATAGAAATTCTTACAAACAAATTAAATTGATTACTGTATAATCGTTACTAAACTAAATCATTTA